ATGTTCTACGGTTAATCATTTTTACGGTATGCGAGTTACATACATCGGTAAAAAAAATCCATTTTAAGTCCAATTTACTATTCGTTTTGGAAAAAGAGTCTTTTGTTCTGTCCTTACGTACAGACGTCACGCAAAAAAATAGCCCAAATAGATTCGGCAAAGGTAAAAATGGATATTTCCGTCGAAATACGATTCTCGACATTTTTCGCTATTACATTCGGTTCAAACATTAATTTTTCACTATTATTATCCTTTACTTCATAGAAGAGAGGGATAAAACAAATTTTGAAAGAATGGAAACTATGACAACCGTAAATGTGTAGTTGTTATATTAATAATTGCAACCTGCGTTATCTGATTTAAAAGTAATCACTCTTTCTGATTGCTCTTAAGGAAATTACGAAAGAAACAAATTTTTCTCTTTGATAGTGCATTAATAATGGTAAAGTGTGGTAAGAATATCTGTATGTCGGAAATTATCAAACATGAAAACTAATTATAAATAAAGTTGTACCTATAACCTAATGGTACGGATAGGCAATTTAATTATTTATCCATTTGCATAGCTCTACACTAACTGTCTGCGTTCACATTAATAAATTTTTATTCTCTTATTGTAATAGCAGTAAATGGTACTTGTGGTACTCATTACAATATCTTAAAAAATCTGATGCGGAGACCACTTGACTTCTTGTACGGCCTATTAAATTAAACACATTTTCGGTTGTATTCATTTGAACTTATTTCATCGAATTATTCTAACTTATCCTAAACTCAAGTTGAAAATTTTTAAATTTTTCCAAATTTTTAAATTTAAATATCCCAGTCAATTTTTGTTGTGTGGAAGTGAAATCTTATGTGTTTTTATTTTTTTCATAAACACTATGAACCGTTCCCAAACATATGTTATAGGGTTCCTCACTTTGTAAATGCTACGTTACAGTTGAACGTGAAGAAGCTTAAGAACTAGTAAGCGAATAATCGCTTGAGTTTGTGCAACAAGAAACAACAAGATGGAAGGGTAAAAAACCCTTTATTATTCAGATAAGATTTAACAGAACTCCGTCTTGGAGTGTACAATAAAAGCCGATACTTGGGCTTGAACTTAAAAGGCTAAGAAACAAACTAAAACTAAACTAAACTAAAGAGATATAGCCGAAGCTATCAAGATTCTAACTGAGTTGTCCCCTTAACGCTAATTGACTGCGAAGCCATCAAGGGCCTGAGTACGGCCGAGCGTAATAACAGCTTTGAGAGAGAATAGCGAAAAAGGCGGACGCGCGCTAATCACAAACTCTGATTCTCCCTAACTCAGAAAGTAGAACTTCGCGGTTAAATACCGCCTTTTCTCATTATATATTCAGAGTGATTCTAAAACTACGTTCTGACCGGAAGTAGTAAGTTGAAGTTAAGAATCGACAGGAAAGGAACTTAAAATTTAACTGTTAATAAAATTAACATAATCCTTACAAAGTATAGAAACCGGCAGGCCACATTAAAAGCTAGATTTCGTTATTTGCCATTGTCAAAATTTGAATATTTTCGGTCATTTAAAACACTGCTGTATTTTTGTTGCGTTTCAATTAAAATTTTTTCCTCGAATTATTATACCTCACTTAATCAATCCTTCAAGACAAGTTGAAAATTGCGAATTTTTGAAAGTAAATATCAAGGTCAATCCTGTTTCCTCATTTAAAATAATTCTCTAACTTCAAATATATGACTACCACCAACGATTGGGAAAATAAAGGCCGAGTACGACTTTTAAGTCGGCTAACGGAGTACGGATATATATAGCACTATGACGCATTTACTAAAACAGTGCGATTTTGAACCTGTTGAAACTTGTCATCGTTTAACTAACATATTATTCAGTTCATCACCAACTTTCGTAAATATCGAACGCATTTTAGTACCCATAGAAGATGCATATAGATAATAAGTACAAACGTGCCGTGCTACATTTTTCATTTTCGTGTGGTGAATCTGCTAGGTTTGCAGCGATAAAAACTAATAGTGTACATGGTGACTACTAGTGTAAGGATTGCCCAGAAATGGTTTTAAAAATTTAAATTTGAAAAAGCAGCATGGATGATGAAGCCCGTTCAGAACGTTTTGAACTGTTAGAACCAAATTAATCGATTCATTCAGAAGTTTAAATTGAACAACTTTGGCGTCTAAACTCAGAATGGATCAAAAAACGCCCACGATGGGTGAATATCAAGAAAGTGTTGTTTCATAATGATAACGCTAGACCGCATACGGCTGGAACAACGCTGTACAAAATTACTGACTTTAATTGGGAGCTTTTGTCACATCCTGCTTACTCCTCAGATATTACCCCAACTGAGTTTCACTTATTTCGTGCCTTACAAATTTTTTACTGGGAAAAAATTAAATTGTAAACAGGATGTACACAATGAACTTTCAATTTTTTTTGCATCAAAACCAGAGTCTTTCTACAGCAATGCCATAAAAAAGCTGCCTGTAAGATGGCGAGACATTGTAGATAATGGAGGAAAATATATGATTGATTAAAATGTTAAATTGTGTTTTTCTATATTATATAAAAATTTACCAAAAAATGTGCACGAATTTATGGACTGATCCAATATATTACGTGCGTATGGGTTCATAACAGATTGAATGCACAAGTGCAATAAAAGATGAACAAAATTTATTCTTACCACAACAAATGCAACCAGACTCTGGAATTATCCTCAGAGATGTTCTTACAATATCACCACATCACACAGCAGTTATATTGTAAAAACTAAAACGTTAAATAGAACACAATTCAAAGCGCAGAGGAAGCTAATCCAAACTCAAAATTACAGCAGTTAAGTAAACAACAACAACAAAGTAAACAACTGAACTGAGATGCTTCTCTCCGGCTTTTTAAAGCTTTTTAATGTCACGAGAAGGTTCTAGCAATTTCTGGAAAGAAAAGAGTAGAATTAGGGTCACAGCTAACACAGCAGGCAATTACATTTATTCAGTTTAAATATAAATTACGAGATATCTATTTATTACATGTTCAGAGCGCGTGGTCCTGTATTTTCACTTTTCAGGCGTAGCCTTCTCTTAAAATAAGCCTCGTGGTGCATAGGACGGGGATATAAAACAATTTTAATAATAATTCTACTAGAAATAGCAAACTAAATACAAAATCTGTAACAATATAATGAAAACATGAAAAGGACGGAGTAGTGTTGATGCGTAATACTTGGATAAGATAGATCGTAGATCCTTACTGAAAAGGTAGAATTCTGATTGGGTAGTATGCTAATATGGTGAGTTCGTAATATCTAAGAAACTTGGCAGTCAAGGTGGTTTCAATTCCATTTTTATTTGAATTCACATTTGTTGCCACAGCTTACTTGGCACTCTAATCGTGCCTTTCCAGAACATTTGCATTTTTGAGTACTGCTGAAATAGGAAGAGAGCGAGGGATATAGCATCCAAAGAGCACGGAAGTTAAAGCTAAAGGCGACGCATTTATCCAATATGGAAGCTCATCAAGACGAAGGTTTGGGTTTAGTTTAGGAAAATTTCATTTCTTAAAACTGTGAGTTTAGGTTCCGCATTAATTACGTCATAGCGTTATGCAAGCCATGCGAGATGGATTGATCTAAAAATGACGCAATCTACAGAAGTTATTACGATTTTTAGAATAGAGAGGGAGAATTAAGAGGTTACTTTAAATTATAATTTTTATTTATATAATTTTTATCTTACATATATATAAACACACGTTTCGTATTCTCGATAGTAATAAAAAAGAGAGATGCACAGCGAGGTGTTATAGCAGTGCATTATACAAAATTCCAATGCTCTACGGCTAACAGTTTTTGAGTTTTGCGAGATAAATACGTACGTACGTACAGCTATCATGAAGAAAATCTCTTTTGAATCCATTTTAAAATCTGTTTTTGGGGAAAAAGAGTCCTTTATTTTGTCCGTATGTATATATGTCACGTAAAACATCGTCCGATTGGGTCAGCATGGACTCTGAGGAAATGAAAGAGCTGATTTCTTAGCTAAAGATGCTCAAAATTTATCCATAGACATAAATATTAGCATTCCAAAGAGTTATTGGAAGTATTTGCATTATAAGAAGCTTTTAGCTAAGTGGAATGTGGTGTCGTTTTGTAGTTGTGGTGTATTTGATTATAGCAAAGCACTCGAGGGCTACCTGTCTAAGGGAATGGATGCCTTCGTGGAGGACTTTCAAAGGGAACTGGTTCGTATACACGCTACGCATGAGAAAAAACATGAAAACGCGCATACAGCCAGTCCGTTCGCGGAATTCAAACCTCGGAACGAACTACCAGTGCTTGGTTATTTTACCCATCGGCCGCCGTTGGGTCTAAATGCAATGAGAAATATATTTCATTTTGTAATGATGAAGGCATCAGAAAGTTCTTTCCTGCTGTTTACCTTAGATTGCATTCCGAGTCTTTCCTCTTTATTAATTTTGAAGTACTTCCGTTTTTATCTGGTTACAGTAAATTTGCAAGTTACCTGTTCCCTTTCAATCTAAGATCGAATAATTTATGTTGAGTGTTCAAAAAACGTACCGCAAGATGTGGAAATTTAATGTTTTATTGCTCTACGCTCTATGGCCCTAGATTATGCTTGCAGAATGATTTGAAAAAGTTTGGCATTACTTTGACAGTGAACATATCTGTCTTTTGTGAAGTCCAGATTGCTGTTCTATATTTTTGTTCGTTTCATTTATGCTTGTTATATTTAATGTTTTAATTAATTTACTATTGTAAGCCCCGTATTGTGCATTTGTGATGCACGGGAAGATTGTACGTGTTCAGAAAAAAGGGGAGGGTCCGAGTGGATTAATTACACCGTCGCTGCCACGAAGTGGAATAAATAATCACAGTAAAAATGTGAAGCTTGCTGTCCAAGACAAGAAATTAAACAAACAAAGTTTGTGGCTAAAAACCCATATTTCGTTTTAAAAGTATCAAATGTTTTTATCTTACCTTATATGTAAATATGCTTCCTTTTCTTCTTTTATCCCAGAGCTACACAGAAAAATAAAATTACATTAAAGACATGAAGCAAATATATGCAAATATTTATCTAAAGGTAATAAGACATTATTAAATATCTTAAAGCACATTAGAATACATATCGTATCTCAATTTAATAAAGAATTTGAATTTATGAACCTCTTAACTGTCGCGGAAAACGCACAAGATTAATTTCCCAGTGCCACGGTTTTTCACTCAGGCGCGCGTACTTATGCGGTGTATTGGGGGGGGGATAAGTGCAAGTTTTACTTTCTAAAAACTGTTTACTTTCACAAAATAAAGAATAAAAGAAAAAAATAAATGCACAAAATTTAATGTTTTGAGTAAAAGTATTACTTACCACAGCATCAGAAAATACATAATTATTATTTTCAAAATTGAAATTTTTATTATTTGGTTTTATGTATATGCTAATGTACGTGCATGTGTTAGACATTCGCGTATAGGCTATGACCTTCATGCGTAATTTAGTGGAATTACATCATCTTTATCTCGAAATATATACATAGATAATATTTGTATTAGATCAATCCAAACCTCAAACCTAAGTATGGTTTTAATTCATAAGTGCGAAAAAATAATAATAATTGCAGTTTATTTTGTATAGAATGGAACATGGTATTTTGCACCAATTTTATTTGCTTTCTAAGGCATTGTATCATATATTTTGAACACTATTTTGTAAGAAAACGAAATGAATATTATTTACAGAATTTTACCAGAAAGTTTTGTACATTTTTAGGTGTAATAAAGAAATATATTATGAAATAATATACGTCTGTAAATTCGGATCCAGTTTAGCATAATGATTTGGAGGTCGAAGAAATTTATATTCTTGTATAAAACTGCAAAACATGACCGTGGTACATGCGGCCATAAAGTGAATGTCGTTGTTACCCACAAACAGCTGATACCTGAATCACATCATGATTCACCGGTGGGTCACGCGGCAGTAAAAGTGTTAAGACATCATCAGCGATGTTGTATTTATCTATTATTGTAATGTATTGACGGCTTTATGAACATAGTATAAAGTTAAAAAATCTGATGTGTACACCACATGATTTCAATATTAAATTATACCACATTTGTTGTTGCATTTCATTTGAACTTATTTCCTTGAATTCTATTGGGGATATATTTGTCATTAAATCAATCAGTTCTCACTTCGAGGCAAGGCAAAGATAATCTCAAAACATCTTTATAACAATTTGTAAAATACAGAAATACCGAACACCAAATACAGTTAAAAACGGTTTTGCAATCAAAATTGGAGTTTGTAGCCAAAATAAGTAATTTGGCTGGCGGGTAAGAAAGCAGATTTTTCGGTGCAAAAAATTGAAAATTTACTTTTGGTCCTACTCGCCAAAAAGACATTGAAGATGCAGAAACTGACTTTATTATGCTTAGTTTCAAATGTAAACAAATATGGTTGCGGGGGTAAAAAAATTAAGCTTAGCCACACTTAAACAACTTGTAAATTAATGATAATTCTACAACTATTGTATGCAGATTAACTACAAGCGTAAAATCCTTAACCGAATGCAAGAATAACACAATTCTATCACTCCTAAAGCAAAAAATGCGCTATTTAGCAATATATATTATATATATATATTAGATATATATATAAAACTGAGCTCATGGAGCCGAGTAACAGAGTTTGTATATATATAGAGATAGATCGATATACAGATATTTATATACTTTTGGTGCGGCCGATTGCAACCAGAAAGGGAGATGCACAACTACATGTTACAAATACTAAATTTCAGCATTCTGGAGCTTTTTGCAACCTGTTTTGGGAAAAAGAGTCCTTTATTCCGTCCTTACGTACAGATAACACGAAAAAAAAGGTCCTTAAATTGCATTCGATATTCGTCAAAATGGATATTTTCGTTAAAATATGATACCCGAAAATTTTCCCGCTTACAATAATTTTTCTGCTTCGGACAAGGAGGAAAACAAGAAAATCTGAAAGGTTTCAGTCATTAACAGTCACCCAAAAGCTTTTGTTAAGGTTTAAGGTTTTTCATACTCCCGCTGATCTCACAGTCTACCAGGCTACTGTTACACTTACTCCTACTAACCCATTTTTTAAAAATCTTTTCAGCTTCATTATTAAGCATCATTTCTTCGCACTAACGCCGTATACAATTCAACAGCAAAATTGCAGGAATTTTAAAAGCAATATTCGTTTAGAATTCCCGATGCAGCGTTAGATGTTGACATACATTTTTAGTCCAAAAGGGCAATTTTGCCTGAAGGGCTATTAATTTCGTTTTGGCATTTTGAGTTAGAAACTATGAACGGCGAATCACTTTTCAAATTGTTGCTACCAAATATTATCGCCCTGTATTATATTTAAAGAAGTTAAATAATGAAGAATCTGCATGAATGTACGTATGTTTCTCTCATTGTGATAAAACAACGGTACCTAGAGCCATCAAAATTTGAATAACCTAATCTTCCATAGAATTTGGGCATGTGGAAGCTCTAATTTGAATTTGAAATTTGTTTTATTATCAATTTTATATCTTGTAACACTTCAACGAATTTCTCATTAACAAACTCGACGATTTCAAAGCGAACAATGACAACACGGCACGAGGGAAAAAATCTTTTTATCTCCAGTGTATAAGACTTTGTATCGAAAATTATAAAGATAGGCTCGTTTAAAATTATTTTGCGATATTGCTATTGAACTGAATTTTAGGTTTGTGTGCGTGGAACATGATATTTAATAAATAAAGGTAACACACAAAACATTAAAAGAAACGCCCCTTTGGACGTAATTTAATATGAAACCTTTCAGATTTTTATTCCAAAGGGGCTTTGTCCCTGGAGGGAAACCATTGTTTTCGTTTTGCTATTTTGTGTTGCATCACTATAAAAGTCCGTTTCATTTTTCAAACTGTTGCCACCGAATGTTAGAGTTTTTCATTATATTTGAAGAAATTAAATAATGAAAAATGTGCATAAAGTTCTCGCATTGTGATAAAACAACGGTACCTAGAGCCATCGAATTTTGAATGACGTAATCCTCCTACGAATATGGTCATGTGGAAAAACAAATTTGAAATTTGGAATTTGTTTTTATGATCGATTTCATATTTTGTAAATTGTTAACGAATTTTTGAGTAACAAACTCAACGATTTAAAAGCGAGCAATGGCAACACTCTACGGGCGGGGGGAGAAACCTTTTTATCTTTAGCGGGCGCGGAACTGTGTATCGGAAATTCTAAAGATATGCTTATTTTAAAATTATTTTGCGACATTGCTGCTGAATTGAATTTTATGGTTTAAGAACATGATATTTAATAAATAAAGGTAACACTCAAAACGTTAAAAATACGCCCCATTGGATGTAATTTAATCTGAAACGTTTCAGATTTCTTTTGTTTCCCTTCCCCAGTCTTCTCTTAGTTTATCATATGGATATTCAGTTTTCTTACTATGGCTTTACAAAACATTTTAAAACTTTTCATTATTAACGTTTCGTTCGTTTGCTTTATTTATTGAATATTACGTTGTTGGAGCTTACGCCTCATAAAATCTTCTGATTAATCAGCACAATACAAATTATTTAAAACAATCTAAAAATTGATACAATGCTTCTAAGTGTTTCGACGAAAAATGGCGTTTCGAGACGAATATCCTATTTGGAACTACAGTGTCTCAAAAAAGTGATGGGACACTTGTGCTTTACAAAAAGAAACTGTAATAAAATAAATTAAAAAAAAACATGTAAAAATTTTTTGTGGGTGTGTTTCATACTTAAATTTAGTAACAATTATTACATAACATACATTTTCTCAAAATATTAAAATATTAATTTAATAAAAATACAATTGTTTAGAACGGAGCAAAAAATGGCTCACATAAGTGATGGGACACTACGTACTATGCAACAAAAATCGTCTGAAGTAAGCAATAAAAATATCTTTTGGGGTATTTATTTTTACTCAAAAGCAATTGGCAATAATTTATAAAATCGTCTGCAGTATTTCTCTCCAGTTTGTTTTGGAATTTTTTGTGTTTTTTAGCTCTGTGCAGCCATGAATGCTAAACGAAAAGAAACTTTGCCTGAAATTCGAAAATTAGTTATTAATTTGCATATTGAACGTGGAAAATCTATTAGAGAAACTGCTGAAACAGTTAACTTGAGTCATTCAACAGTTTTCAATATCATTAAACGATATAAAAAGAATCATATGATTCAGGATAAAAGAAGACCTGGCCGACCATCAAAGCTATCCAATGGAATAAAGCGAATTATCGTTCGAAATATTAAAAAAAATCCAAGAATGAGTGCTCCTAAAGTTGCTGCTGATTTACAAGCATTATATGGAGTAATTGTTAATCCTGAGACTATTAGAAGAGTAATTCGATCTGCTGGATATCACGGTAGAGCAGCCAGGAAAAAATTCTTCGTAAGTGAAAAGAATAGAAAACTCAGACTGGCTTTCGCAAAATCCAACATAAATAAGAATTCTGATTACTGGAATGAAGTTATATTTGCTGATGAGAGTAAATTTAATATATTTGGTTCTGACGGTAGAATCTTGGTGTGGAGAAAACCCAGGGAAGAATTTCGCAAACAGAACTTGGTGCCAACAGTAAAACATGGTGGAGGAGGAGTTATGGTATGGGGGTGTATGTCGTCCGCTGGAGTTGGTAATCTTGTTTTTATTGACAGTATAATGGATCAGTACAAGTATATTGACATTTTAAATCAAAATTTGAAATCTTCAGCACGAAAATTGAACCTTCATAACGATTTTAAATTCTACCAGGACAATGACCTCAAGCACACTGCTTTGAACGTTAGACTCTGGCTGCTGTATAACTGTCCTGAAATAATAAAAACACCACCACAATCTCTAGACTTAAATCCCATAGAGAATATTTGGCAAGAATTGGAATCAAGAATTCGCAAACACACCATTTCTTCAAAACAACAATTAAAATCGGTGCTTCAAGAAGAATGGGGTAAAATCACTCCAGAAATCACAAAAAAATTAGTCGAATCCATCCCAAGAAGATTAAATCATGTTTTAAAAGTAAAAGGAAATCCAACAAAATATTAAAACCTTTTAAAAAGTAAAATTTTTGGATAAATATTTGATGGAAAAGTAAGTGTCCCATCACTTATGTGAGCCATTTTTTGCTCCGTTCTAAACAATTGTATTTTTATTAAATTAATATTTTAATATTTTGAGAAAATGTATGTTATGTAATAATTGTTACTAAATTTAAGTATGAAACACACCCACAAAAAATTTTTACATGTTTTTTAAATTTATTTTACTACAGTTTCCTTTTGTAAAGCACAAGTGTCCCATCACTTTTTTGAGACACTGTATCTAGTAATCTGCTAATACTTTTCAGTTAATTTTAAGCAACTTATTTAAACGCTGAAGAGAATTTTGACAATATAATGATAAAGAAATGATAAATAATTATTGTTAATGACAGGTAAAGAAAATAATTTTTGTTTCATATCAAAGTCGTCTGCTAACTTGTCCAATTTCATGTCAAAGTTTCAGAGCTTTCTGAATATTACATCTGCGACACTAAAAACAGCAATTTAAATCGTAGAAAATAGTAATGTTTCACAAATGGATATTTTGCAACAGTTTCTTTCATTGTCAAAATAGAAGAAAATTTCGTTTTAAATATAAGCTGGAAGTAGATTTCTAAAGAATGATGTTACACTGAAAGGATTGAAAATGTCAGAAACACATTTTGTCCTCTTTAAAAGCTTTCCTAGCAAAGAAATGTCAGAAGTAACTACGTTGTAATATGCAACTCAGACATAAAAAATCAATTTATTTTTAGAAATGAAATATGAATTGCAAATCCGGAAATTTTATGACATCCTATTATAAAAGATTTCCCTGACATTTTAAAATCTGGAGCCCTTCAACTATAAGCCTTAGCAGAAGTATCTAAACGAGAAAAAAAAAGGATAATGTTCACTGAGAGAAGAAATTACTTTTTTAAATTATCGCAATGCCAAACAGATCGAAGGTATAATCCTTCTTTAGCATTAGAAAGAACCTGTGAAAAACCATTTCAATAGTTGCAATTTGAGAAACGTCTGTAGCTAAAATTGAAAACACAGACGTGGAAAATTCTATATCGATCCATCAAAGATAGGAATGTCACACAAATTCTAAAAGAAGATAGTTTTCGAACAAAGAGAATGAATATGTGACTCAGCAGATGATATTCTTAAAATTTCTAATCTGCAAAAATTTCTAATCTGCGAAAACGGAGAAATATAAAAGCACTGTTGGTTTCTGAAAGAGCTCCAGGAAAGTAAAGTATTTCCGACATTCTGCCATTTCTAATCTTCTTGGAGAAAAGAATAATGCCACTTGTCATTTGTCATTTTAAGATTCTGGAATACTGAATCATGACTTAAAACTTTTTATTGAAGGCAGTGAATTTTAACATCAAGATGAAACAAGAATATATATATAAATATTAATAAAAAATCTGGAAGGTTTCAAATTTTAAACCGCCTCCCAAAAGGGTTTGTTAAGGTTACTTACGTTCTCGCTAAGTTCGCAGTCTACCAGGCTGCTTTTACACTCTGTCTTATAAACCCACTCTTTCAGATTTTTAGCTTTATTATTAAGCGTAATTTTCCTTCGCATTGACGCCATACACAGTCCGACAGCAAAATTACAAAAACTTTAAGAGCAGCATAACAGTATACGCTTGGAATTCTAGATATAGCTTCAAGGTTTGGCTTACATTTTTCTGTTTTTTTTTTATCTTTTCTCAGTTTATCACATAAATATTCAGTTTTCTTACTAAGATGGCTCTACAAAACCTTTCTTGGTCTTTTTATTTTTAACGTTTTGTGTGTTTACTTTATTTATTAAATATCACGTTCTTGGCGCTTATGCCACGTAAAATTGGATTCAACAACAAAATCACAAAATATTTAAAAACAGCATATCTTTCGAATTTCTGATACACAGTCTCACGGGCTGAAGATAAAAATGCAGTGTTGCTACTGCTAGCTTTGAAATTTTGGAGTTTATTAATCAAAAATTCGCTTAAGTTTCATAAAATATGAAGTAGACAATAAAACAAATTTGATTGTTTGAGCTGATAGGCCGCTAGGGGCTCATGTATCGGTGATATGTTTTTATCACCCCCTGTATATGTTACAAGGTATTATCTCCCTCTGTTCTGCATGCCTTCGTGGTGTAACGGTAGCACACTCAGCGCGGATTCGAGAAGTCCACTTTGGAGTTCCGGAGAGGACACTGCTCATTAATCACGTCTTTCAGCATCCAACATCAAAATAACTTAATAAGTCTACAGTGACGCCCAAACTAAAAGGCGGTGAATAATGATTCTTCACCACCATTGGCAAATGGCAAATGGATTTAGCAAATGGGTCCCGTAATCCCAGTCGCCTTTTAAAAGAGGCGGAGTATTTTCACTCTCCATTCTGCATACCTTCGTGGTATAACAGTAAGACAGTCGGATTTTATTTTGAGAGATCTAGGTTCGAACAAATTGCCGACTGCTATACTTGTATTTATGTAGCTAAGAAAACTTTATTTTCCGTAACATAATAGAAAATACAATGTATTATAAGACTTGTATTCTTAATAAGCGTATATTGGCTCTCTTTGAATGCAGGAACACTGTTTAAGTTTTGATTAGTTTCGAGTATGGTTAGCTTTGTTTCGAGTCTGGTTAACTTTGTTTCCAATAAATACAGAGTCTCTATGATTAAAGAACCTTATTTCAAAGAATAAAACAATTATAATTGAAACCAGAAATCAGAAAATTGTGAAATTTTGTGGCGAATTTAATGAAGGGATGAGAATGTCTTTCATAAAAAAATAATTACGAATAGCGTCACCAGAGGGCGTTTTAATTTTAAGACCTGTATTAAAAATGTAAATCTTTTTCGACGTTATGCAGCAGCTCGTATAAAACCTTGAAACGTTCGCGGATACTTTTTTTTCAATATTCTTGTTGCTCACAATGACGATAAGTTTACGAGATCGCGCTTTGGTAGCAAAACTGATTTACCAAAACAACCAGCACTTTCTTGACGTGTGGCCCTCCAAATCCCCAGACCTCAATCCACGCGATGTTCGACTTTGGAGACATGTGGTGAGTCGTGACAATCCAAGAACTTTACCTGATCTTAAAGCCAGCATTTCACGCCAGGTGCTGAACATTTCCCAGCACATACATCGGTCAACTGCGGAACATGCCATCTTGCAATCTCAGACGGTAGCTGAAAACGATGGCCATCATGCGGAACATGATTTTTTGTGACAAAATTTGTAAAATTGTCAAACTATTGTAAAGGTGTGGCTAAATGTACAATTTATTAATATAATGCCCTCTGGTGACCCTATTTCTAACTAAGGTTTGTTTCGCTGAAAGACATTCTCATCCCTTCATAAAGTCCGCCACAAAATTTCACAATTTTCTGATCAGTGGTTTCGCTTGTATGCATCTTTGAAATAGGGTTCTTTAATTATAGACACTCTGTGCCTTCTTAGAATTTGCAAGAGTATTCTACACATAAGAGAAGCATTTTAAAATAATCTCTTACTTTAATATTGCTGTCAGAAGATCCCGAAGCGACAAAGTCTCCGTACGGATGAAAATCGACGCATTTCACTTTCCCCTTATGGCCGAGAAGTGTACGAATTACTAGAAAACAAAGAAAAGGAATTAATATTGTATTAATACAGTGTAAATTCACATTCCAAGCAAAGTTGTAACTCTTCTTAAGGGAAAAAATTTTAAGATATCTTAATTTTTTAAAACCTTTTTAATGTACAAATAAAAATTAACATTTTGGTTCAAAGTGGGAAAAAAGTCTTATTGATAAGGTCTGTTAGCTAGATGTGTTATGAAATGGCTTAGGTATTTGATTGCTGAAAGCCAGTTGTAAATAACAAAAACGTGTTGAGAGAATTTAGACTTTTTTAGAACGACTTCGAGATCGTTTAATTAATGTTTAAAATGTAAAAGAATATATTTTTAATGTTTGATGTGACAGCCTTTTTTCTGGGCTATAAGTCTGCATTGTGATTTCCAAGGTAAAAGGGTTTATTCTCAAATCTCCAGGGATATTGATTTTCATTCCTCTTCCACTACATTCCAGAGTCCATCAATCGTGGTGGGTTTGCTCTTAGAAAGAACTCTTTTCTAGAAAGTAAAGGCACAATAGTTTAGAGATGAAACTTCAGGAAAATAACATCGTTTCTAAAATAGTGTCGTAATACCAAGTTTAAAGGGTTTAAAGGGTCATTGTGAAATGACCTCCCTACATATTTCATAGTTACGTCTCATTGCCTGTTTGCTTTAGCATAATCCTGAATTGAAAGGATAAAATGGAAAGTCATCATTTGTATCTCATGCTGTCAAGCTGAAACGGGACGATTTTCAAAAATACCTTGATATGTGGCACGCAACAAAAATGAGTGAAAAACGTAAAGTAAATTTAAAAGGCAGTTGGCTAGCTAACGAAGAAAATGTCTCGAAAATGTGCATAAAATTGATTTAAAATGCTGAAAGTACTTTACATTTCTTAAAAGAAGTCTACCATACCATATAGTGGAAGTATTACTGCACTGCAAGCGAATAAATAATGCCAACGTTTGCCAAAACATGAATGTTTACGCTGTATAATAGAAAAGTGATTGAAATCATAAGCTTCTTAAATTTATATTACTGTTATTAAAAGGACTGGAAAATAATGCTTCTGCAATCTCAAATTTTCCAAGTCTTCGATCATGGCTCTTTTTTTCCTTTCCCCAATGCATTTCCCATATATAATCTTTTTTTTTTTTTTCTGGTTCAAAATGATTGATGAGCACTAAAACACCGAGAGTGAACAGAATATGTTTTTTTTGGCAGACTTCACTTGTCAGGTTTGGTAGTTCAAGAAGCATAAAAAAAGTTTAACGTGGGAAAAAACTATTTATGATAGCAAATACTTCTCCCTTTCTTGTTTTCTTCGAATATAAGGATTAAATATATTTTCAGTTCAAAGAAAAGATTTTAAAATATTTAATTTTCTTCATATGCAGTAATCAAGACTATCATAATTCATTACCTGAATACTTTATTTTCTGACATTTCATGTAATTTGAAAGTTCAGAACACGAGAAAGAAAGAAAAAGAAGGAGAAAAATTTCTGAAGTGCAATCTTTTCACATATGCCAATATTGCTGTAAATTTCTGTAAATATTTAAATGCATTTTATTGCATTGCTCTTTTTGTTTACTATTATAATACAGTATACTATTTAATTTAATTATTTATTTATTTGCTGCTGTTAGGATTTATTTTGTTTTTGATTGAATTTCTGATTCCATGTTTTGCATACAAGTGTTCACTTCTTATATAAATTATAGATCTTTCAATTCTGAGTCTAACAACGCTTAAATTCTAAAAATAGCTCAACTAGAATGCAAGATGTAAACAAAAACGCTGCTGAAGAACCTTGGCGATATAACTTTCGCCAACTTGGCTACATTCTGGAAGACTCAGGAAAAGGTGTTTTCAAAGCCATACGACTGATTTTCCCCGAAGCTTTCAGAAGCCGGTGCGATGTCACATAAATAAGGCACCGACAGGTAGGATAAGTCAGTTGTTAATGAGCTTAGACTTGCGGTTCAAACAGAGTTAGCTGAATTATATTGTAGAGTTTACACTGGGAGGGATTTGGGGAACTCACGCTTATATTTTCCGTGCGCTAAATAGGCATTGCTTATTAATGAATTATGCTGTAACTGCTTAATAGCTGTAGTTATACAAGAATAAGCGATAAGGAAAGAAATTTTAAGCACAGAGAGTAATTATTGGTCAATGAATGGCCGCAGCAGATCTCGTTAGTAAATCACCCGGATATTTAGTAACTCCTTCTAATTAGGCTGTAAGGTATTTCTCTCACCTTCTTGGTGTAGTGGTGTTGCACCCGGAGCCGGTATTCCAGAGGTCCGTGGTTCGATTCCCGGCGAAGGGCATTTGCTCATTTTTCATCTCTCCAACTTCCAAAATATCCTAATGTCTCTACAAGGTCAAATGTTTTTTCATGCCTTTTAATTGCTGTTTTATTTTTGTGTGATATATATTGGTGTGATATATATAAGTCACTTTTAATAGATGACGCTGGCCATTATGTCATATTTAAACTCGGTGTGTAAATATATATATATATATATATATTCTTTCTCTAAGCGGAGGACGGATTTCCCTTTTGTTTAAAATTTTTTTCCGGTTTGCAAATATATTTTTTAATTTTCCTAGAAATCCATGGAGTCAATTAGCATGTGTCAGTCAAGAATGCAAACAAACGTGAGCTATCCGTTTCCCTACAGAAGTAGACACATGTATTTTTTATTTCCACTACAGATCCTACTACAACCACATCGTTTCGCGCCAAAGCACGGGAAGAAATTGTTCTCAGATTTTACAAGATTCTTGGCCAATTTCCCAATGAAGAGCTAATATCTAATACAGTTGGACGATCCGCTCATGAACTGATTCATTTTCCTGAGAGAACTGAATCCAATTCCAGGAAAGAGTTGTAGCTCTTTTACAGCTCGCTGATAGCTCTTTTTGGAAACCTTCCAGGAATAGAGATCTGCTATTAGTTCAGGAACTGATTCACTTTACTCAGCTAGCAAACACTTCATTTGCTGAAAAAGAGCTCTTTTTGGAAGCGTGGCAAGAAAATTCCAGTCCCATTTCAGTGGAAAAGGAAGAATGTTTATCGTTCCATGTTAAAAGTGAGTTTAATTTTTATCATTTCCAACTTAAAAAAAATTGGAATTTTATTTTTAGTTCTGTGTAGAAAGGAGTTTTTAGGGAACGCCGAGACTACAGCTGAAAGAAATCAGTTTATGGAGTTAGTGTTTGATTAAGTGTTTGATTAAATCTATACTTCTGATCCCGATGCTCGTCCTGGTTTTTTTCGCTGTTTGCTACAGCCTCACTAATTGTTCTTGATTTAACACTAGTTCAGGATCTTTTTCGTTAATGCTATTAATGTTAGTGAGCAGTGAGCTGTAAGAAAAAATCGAGTCATTTCGGGGAGCGAACCATTCTGGCCCCATTAAAAAAACCGCATCTGTATTATATATTTGTTACCTCATGAATGGAGACAATATAGAATTTTGACCATATATATATATATATATATTAATGAGTGAGTGCACCGCTATGATGGCTTCTCACCACGGACATGAACCAAAGGGAATTATATATCATCATGGTGGGGAAGACTCCAAAGTAACAAGGTTGAATGTTACATATTAATAACAGTTTTTACAGTTTGATAACTGCATTCACTAAACGTTATTCTGGGTATCCGCTTGGTATCTGAACATTTGAAACATAATATTATTCCCGGTTGTTTCCTCTTAGGCAGTGTCTTGAGATTTTCTGATTTTCTTTATTTTATCAAGGGCTATTCTGTTTTGAGTGTGTTAGATGTTTACATTGCCCAGGCACAGTCCGCTGGTTTCTTCAAGTGCCAGGTTCTTGTATGTACACAATGGAAGTAATAACGGTCCGTGTCGCCTTTCTCTCCGCATTCGCAGAAAGGAGTATCCCTAAGTCTGAATCTGTTCAGGTCTACTAGGAATGGTCCATCACCTATCAAGAACTGTGTTAGGCTAGCACAGTTGGTCTTTATTTCCATGTCAACTTTTGGCAGTAAGCGAAATGTCCTTCGTCCTACCTCTGCCTCTGTCCATCTACTTTGCCAATTTTGTAGTAGACTTGTCAAAGTTGTTCGCTTAATATGAGACCAAGGAAGTTTAGTTGGTCTTTCTAATATATCCGTGCAGTTGGCTGCCTGCTTGGCCAGTAGTTCAGTGGCTTCATTGCCTTGAATCCCTGTGTGAGCGGGAACTCATTTTAAAGTCGGTCTTTGCGAAATAGGCATTGTCAGAAGGTGCTTCTGAATTCGGTATACCAAAATACTCCGGCTGTTTTGACTTGCGATAGCCGCCAGACGTGATGCCGAATCACTGAGTATGAAGAATTTCTCCCGTTGACATGTGTTCGCATATCTAATTGCGGCACTCATAGCTAGAAGCTCTGCTTGGTATACCGAGTTGTTCAAACCTAGTTTCCTTTTCCACTCGAATGTTATAACTCCATTTTCCAGTCTACAGAAGGCGTTGCCCGTGCCGTTCTCAGTTTTGAAGCCATCTGTAAAAAGGTTATTACTGTTTCTCTGAATTAGTTGGTCGTTTATGCTAATATCATCGGAGAGATTAAAAGCTGCTGGATGAAAGATATTGCAGTTGTTTTGCTCCTCGTAGTCCGAGTGGTGATAACTATGACCCCAGAGTGAAGAAGTTTGACCCAGCCTGGTAACCCTTGCGATAGCTGCCTCCCTTTCTACTATGAAATCTAGGGGGGGATTTCCTGCCAGTTGTTGTAGGGTACGTGGTGGGGTTGACGTGGTACGGTAGGCCCTGCATACTTGAAGTAGCTGCTGTCTCTGAATAGGGAGCAGAGATCTTCTCATCTGAGAGTTAAGTTCACCACCCCAGATTGCTGCTCCGTAAGTTATTACTCTTTCTGTAATGGTTCTATGCCAAATTTTTAGAAGCATAGATGAGATACCACATTTATTCACATAAATTCACATAATATTCACATAGTCATGCGTCTCATGTTGTTGCTTA